GGGGGGGGCTGGGCTGAGCCTGTGCGGCGAGTCCGTGGCTGCAGGGCCCAGGTCGGGCGCCGCGCGCAGCCAGAGCCCCATCGAGCGCCTGGGCCAGCCAGCAGCTGCAAGACGAGGCGGCACACACCAAGGCGACCCGGTGGGACGGCTCGACACGCAAACCTCCTCCTTGCCCCCCACACTACTCCTTGGCCCCCACACTCCTCCTCGCCCCCCCGCACCCCTCCTCGCTCCCCACACCCCTCCACCACTCACCCACGACGTCGCGGTCGGGGGCGCCGGCGGTGGTGCCCACACCCCCCGTGTCCCGGGTGGGCTGGAGCAGGGCGGTGGCGGCCGCACACGCCCCCAGCAGCACGTCCCCGGGCCTGGCCAGCGAGGGCCGCCCCGCCCCGGGCAGCGCGTTGGAGTCCACCTCGGGGCTGGGCAGGGGGGCCTGCCCCGACAGCAGGCTCCCCTCGTGCCACTGCCCGGAAGCGCCGCCCAGCGACAACGGCACCCCTGCAAACACGGGAGGCGCCAGGGAGACAGGCAGGGCGGGTCCCAGGGGGGCTCCATGAGGGCCAGGGACTTGCTGCCTGGGGGCGACAGCCAGCGCGGCCGCCTGTGTTTCGTGATGAACGGGAAGAGGCGCGCGTGGGGCAGGCGCCAAGAGGTGCATGTGCTGTGGTAAAAACACCCACCTCCACAACAGCCGCAGTCCCCACTTTTTGAACATCACTTTGGACACCCAGTTGCAAGGCTTCCGAGTTGACAGCGTACCAGGCGTGCCCTGCCGGCCTCCCAGAGGACACCCACCAACCCCAGGAGACTCACCATGGCAGCGAGGAACTCGGAGCCATGGGCGGGGATGCCGGCAGGCTGTCCGGAGGCCTGACCCTCCGGCTGCGGTCGCGGAGGTGCGCCCCCCTCACTGCATGGTGTTGGACAGGGCTTCTGTTTGAGAGTGGGAGTACGCCCTGCTGCACATCTCCCTCCATTTCCCTTGGCGACCCGGCCTGAATGAACAGTTCCCACAGCCTCGCCACTCCAGGCGGCTGTCCCCATCTTCCTGTTGCGGGGCCACCACCAGACTGCCACCCACCCCCCGGCGCACCAGTTCTCACAGCCGTCACACTGGCAGATGTCGGGGTTGCACTTGACCCCGGCCTGGAAACACTCGCAGTACTTCTTCTGGCACTTGGACCTCTTGCAGCGGCAGCCCTTCTTGTGGCCCTCGCCGTTGAGCACCTGACATGGTTGGACAGCGGGGGCAGCGGCCCATGGAAGGCCTGTGGTGACATGCCCTTGGGACACTCGTACACCCCTCCCAACCCGACGACATCGAATGTGACGACAAGAAGGCCGGGGCGCCTCCCGACTAAGGCCTGGGCTTGCTCAGGCCTGACGCCTGCCAGTCGTGCACCTGACATTCAATCACCCCCCCTCCAGGACACGAAGCAACCCCCTCCCAGGCATCACCCCCATCCGCCCACCTTGGCCCTGAAGGCAGTGGGGTCTTTGGCCAGGACGGCGCTCCTGGCCTCCTGCACGGCATCGACCGCGTCTGCCGAATTGGAGCAGCCCAAGCAGCCGCAGCCCGGGCCACAGAAGCCGCCCGCCGCGAAGCAGTCGCAGTACATCTTCAGGCACTGGCTTCGCTTGCAGGAGCAGCGCTTGGCGGCCAGGGTCGGCTCGGTGAGCGGCCCGCCGCCGTCCAGGGCGCGGTCGCTGGGGAGGGGCCACGCCCTGACCGAGCCGGGCGCGCGGGGCCGGGATGGAGGCAGGGCCGCCTGATTCGCATGCTGGGAGCCGAACGAAGCCAGGGGCGTCGCGGCACCCAGCGCTGCCGCACGGCTGGCGGGGGAGAGGCCGGCGGCAAACGGCTCGTCCTGTGGTGGGTGCGAGTGGGGGTGCCGGGGGGGGGAGGGTCTGAGGCTGGGAGTGATGCATGCAACGCGCATCAGTGCAGCACAGATGGCAGTCTCGACAGGGACAAGGGGGCAGGACAGCAGGGCAAGTGCATCCTATCCACTTCCCCAGCGAAACCCCACCGCATCCTGGTACCTTGGCGACGATGGGGCTGCCCGTGACAGATGCGCCCGATCGAGCGGCCCGGCTCAGGAAGGCCAGGGCCTCGATGGCCATGGGAGTGGTGGCTGGGGGCTGAGCCCCGCCATCCTGCTCCCCAGGCCCCTGGGCGGCAGCCAAGGGTGTCGCTGGCAATCCCACCTGCAGGACGGGGTATGTGAGTGGGTGCCAGAGGTTCAAGAAGTACATCCAAGAGTTTGTTATCGCCCGACCATGAGAACTTCAGGCTGCTCCTGCAGGCATACTTACGCCCCAGGCACATACATCATGAGGGTGCCTTCTGTCCCAGGTACCTTCTACCAACCCTGCAACCATAATAGGCGCATAATTCAAGGTCGATCAGCGCACCGTGCAGAAGTTAGAGGGTGCCGCGGCAGACCGGACGGCGCTCCTCTGCTTGGTAGGCACCTTTACGAGTTTGCCGGCTGGACGGGTGGCGGAAAGAGGAATGGCCGAGGTCAGTCGATGATCGAGCGGGCTGGTGTGACGGACAGTCATTCGATGTCGTCGTCGCCACCCGATTGCCTCGCACCTTGTTCCCACGAAGCCGTTTGGGGGAGAGGAGCGGACTCCCGATTGCGTGCCGGCCTTGGCGCATCTCGAGGACCATCGAGCTGGCTCGATCTCTGGGACGCTGGGTCGGCGGGTGATGGGATGGCCGTTTCGCTCGCGTCATTCGAAGCCTGGCTGCCGTGCACGAGAGCCTCGAGGTCGGCGGTTGCCTTTTGCAATGCGAACAGGGGTGCTGGGGCTCCGGCGTAGTCCAGAGTGCCCGGGTGCAAGGTCTCCTACGAAGTGAGGTGATGGGAGGGGATCACGAAATCGGTTTGCCGACTACCCCAGCCGGCCCCCGGCAATGAGCAGGCGTAACGACCGTTGGACGATTGCCAGGCACGGGACCCCCCTCCTCGCACTCTGCCATGCACACGCCTTGAGGTTCTGTAGTCGCCGGAATACGTCCTCCAATGCCTCCTCCACGGTCACCCGTCCCATCACTGAGGTCCCAACAGACCCTCTCGGGACCCTGCCGCAGGCACCAGATCCTTCGTGCGGGGCTCTCCTTACGTCTCTTTGTCAAATCGGGTCTCCAGGTCAGCCTTCGCAGCTCGAGTTTGAATCGAAGTGGTGCGCAGGCATTGACAGAAAAAATTCGAACTTGGAGTCAAGTCGATGCTCCGCATGCTGTCCCTGGAGAGCGCGATCTCGGTAACATCCGACGCGATGCGCGATCAACACGCAGCGGCTTGTGGAGTGCCTTGCCTCGGAAGCCCTTATGTATACCTTCCAGTTATAGTATAGGAACGGTGCCGAGCAGTCCTCACCCGCCATGTGAGTCATCAGGCCCCAAGGGCTGACTGGGTGGTTGCTGGAATGGGGTCCCAGCAACTGATCACAGCGGTGTGCACCGTGATTTTCGATCTGGATCAGGGACAGAAGATCGAGAGTCTGCACCCCCCTGCGTCTCTGAGTGAGGGCGATCAGCAGCGGGTCGCCTACCATGCATTCCCAGTGAGACCTGGGGACGAGGAGGGACATGCATTGCTGATGTCCTGGGCACTTTACAATGGATGCACAGGCCTGGTGTGCCCAGAGCCATGTCGGCTTCACCCCATCCCTCAACAGCCTCGAGTTGCCCACGCCACCCGCCTCACCCGCAGGACTCCACCGCCCAGAAGCAGCTGGCGCCCGCCTCCATCCGCGACTCAAGCTTCTTCTTCCGCCTGCCGCGCCGGGGAAGCTCGCTGTACGGCTTCGTCTTCTGCCGCCAGCGCCAGGACGAAGCGCTGCGCCGCGGTGCGGAGCAGCGCAGCTTTGTGGTGCTGTCTCCCCTCCCCCTGCATGCGCTGTGGACCGCGCTGGCCTGCGCCGCCGGCCCCGTCTGCCTCGCATACGGCCCACACGCCGTCGTGGACGTGAGCGCGCTGGGGGTGCACTCTCGCCGAGCAGCAGCGGTGGACTGCGTTCCTTGGGGGCAGATGCGTGGGTGTGGGGCAGGCTGCAAAGTGGCCGCCAGCGCGGATTTCCCCAGGCAGACTCAGTTTGTGAGGCTCCTTGTCGGACCCCTGCGTCGTGGCTCTGTCGGAGGCCTGGAGTATCCGTCCATCTTCCCTTTCCCGCCCCCCCCTCCCTCCAGGTGTACGAGGCGGCGCTTGTCTTCCCCATCGCGCTGCCTCTGGCAGACCGCGAGGCGCAGGTCTGGATCCGGGGCCAGCAGCTGACGCTGGCCCTGCCTGACCCCGCCACCATCCCTGGCACAGCGGCCACACAGACGCTGGACCCGGGCACCGGCCTGCCCCAGGCCCTGCTGGCGGACAGCCACAAGCTCACCGCCGGCCCCTACTCCCACGTGCGCGGCAGGGATGACGGGGAGGGAAGGGAGGTCGTGCTGGGGAGGGTGTACACCATGAGCCACAGCCCATGGGTGTGATGGGCCGGGACATGGGCAAGTGGCTGCAGCAATTACGAGCATGACACTGCTCCGCAGGAGTTGGCTGAGCTCTATTGGGTATGGATCTGGTCCACCCTGTGCAGTCGCAGACATCCTGCAAGCCTGCCTGATTGTCCCTGCAGAGCGGTTGTGCACTGGGCGAACCATGGGATACCATCTCAGCTCACCATCATGAATCGGTCCATTCAAGCCCTGCTCTGCAGGTGGATGTGTACTCTGCGTTGCAGCCTGTGCTGCAACACCTGTGGACGCTCTGGGAGCTGCTGGTGTTGGGGAGGAGGCTGGCCGTCATCGGCGCCAGCCCAGGTGCAAAACCTGCTGGGATTGGTCGGGTGCAAATGGGTCTGGGCAAACGGGGTGTGGCTCTGCAAAGCTGGCTTGATAGAGTGAATGCTGGCGCTTTCCCGTTTCACTCCTTCCTGGGCATCTGCATCACCTCGGAGTAGCTCAGTTTCCAGCCCAATGGGACCCCCCCCTCCTTGACTGTAAGCCCTCCAAACTCGCACACTCTCCCGACACGCCCACTCCCCCCAAACCCACGGAGCGTGCAGGCGTGTGCTCGGAGGGCATCGCCGCCCTCCTCTCGCTCCTGAGCCCCCTGCCGTACGCCGGGGATGTGCGGCCCTACCTTACCATCCAGGACCCCGGTTTCGCGGCCCTCACCTGCCAGGGCAGCGGCGCGGCTCCCGGAGCGCCGCAGACCGGTGCGGAGGGAGACGGCGCGTCGGGGGCTCAGCCCGAGGGCGCCCCCACCCTGGTGGGCGTCACCAACCTCTACTTCCTCAAGGGCCTCCCCGCCTGGCCCAACACGGTGGCCCTGGGCTGGGGCGGGGGGGAGGCGTCGGGGGCGCAGACGGCCGCCGCGGCGCCGTGGGCGCCGCGGCGCCTGGCGCGCGCCGCCGCGGGCCGCCTCGCCAGCCTCGTCTCGCGCCCCTCCGCGGCGGGCGCGCTGCTGGGCGCCCCAGCGCCCAGCGACGGCGCGTGGCTGGCCCCGGGGTCCGGCGCCAGGGCCCAGCGGGGCGTGCTGGGCGCGCTGGTCGAGGTGCCGGCGCCCAGCCTGGCCCTGGGCCCGGAGCGGGGCAGGCGCCTGGCGGCCGCCAACTCCGCAGTCCTGCGCCGGCACTTCCAGGAGCTGACGCGCGCCCTCCTCTTCCCCCTGCTCCCCTGCATCACTCCCGCGCCGCGCCCAGGGCAAGGTGGGAGGCTTTGATGATTTTGGTAGCGGGGCTGCTGCCTGAGTGCGTTGCCGGGAGCCTTGCATTCCCTGGGGCACCTTTCCATAACCGGGCGTCCTGGTTGCCACTGTGCAAACATGGCTCGACACCCTGTTGAAGCCCATTGTGTGAAGCCCTTTCCAAAAACCACTGCAAAGCACGGCCGCCCATCAATGCCACTCCACATTACACACAGGCTCGCCCGGTCCTGGAGACAGAGGCCCACCAGACTTTGACCCTGGCAGGGTACTCGCCGACCTGGCAGACCCCAGCGGCACCATCCCAGACCCCCTCGTCCAGGTTTTTGGCACGCGGGCCAGGGTGGTGGCGTTCTACGCCCGCTTCCTAGCAAGCCGCAACTGCAGGGCCTGGGTGGAGCAGCGCCAGGCGGACGCCAGGGCGTGGCAGGTGAGGCGCATGCTTGGGGGTGAGTTCTGGGTGACAGCGAGGAGGCGACGTGGGGGTGGCGGTGGCTGCAGCCTGAGCATTCGGCCTCAAACAACAACCACACGTCACCGGGCCTCCTCTGCGACACCCAGGAGACATCGCTGCCCGAGGAGGCGACGAGCTGGAGCCACGTCAGCGGCGTATGAGTGAGAAAACTTGGAGGGACCTCACCCCTCCCTGGGCGCCCTAGCACCTTGCGGCCGGGCGATGGGGATGCACAGAGGCTCGGCCCATGCTCCATAGAATACCCCATTTCCTCGCACCCATGCAACAGGCTGGGCACGCATACAATCATGTTACAGTGAGTCAGTCAGTGGGGTGCAGCACATCGCTGCACAGAACAATCCCACAGCGGCCTGGAGTGGGCATCCGCGCTGTCTGCCTCCAGCCAGGGCTTTGCTAGCGTGCTCGTGCGTGCCCGGGCGTGTGCACCACAGGCACGATGGTTGGTGTGCACGAGTGCGAGCGGCGAGGAAGAGTGGCCATACTCTTATGGGCGTCACGCTTTAGCCTCATACCGATGTTCGGATGCAGATAGCTGGAAAGTCATGGGCAGTGGCCCTCCCCACCTGCGAGACCTCTGGCATGAGGACCCGCAGAGGGGGCGTCACAAGATCAGGAGGATGGAAGCTGCCGCCGCGGCCCCCGCGGCCAGACCCCAGGCGCCGGCCTGCAAGGTCGGCGATCCTGAGAGTGAGAGTCCAGCATCAGAGAGGAGTTTCAATGACAGTCCCAGCCCTATCCATGGCCCACCCACCTTCTGGCTGGAGGAGGGGGGAGGCGGGCTGGCCGCCGGCTCCCCAAATGCGGAGGCCGCGGTAGGGGCTGCCCCAGTACCCGGACTCCGGCCGGCGGCGGGTGACACAGTAGAGGTCGCCCCGATGACAGTGGGCGAGGCACCACTTGTCACGGCGGCAGGTGGAGCGACACTGGCTGCGCCAGATGGCGACGCTGCGGGTGGAGGGGGGCTGCCGGCCGCCTGCTTTGAGGGGGAGCTGGGCGTGGCACAGGCACATGAGTGGCTCAGGGCCCCGGAGCTCGAGTCGCACTCAAAGTCGACTGCAAAGGGGGAGAGGGGGATGCAGGTTGTGAGCGCTGGACTGGTACGCTGGACCGTGCTCAGAGCTTATACGGGGGGCGGAAGATCATGGAGACACCCTGGCACCCACATTCCTTCTGTTTCCATTCATTTCCCACATCCCATCCTCACTCTTGGAGTCGGCCGGACATTGCTCCTCACAGAGGCTTCTCAGCTCAGTGCATTGGGCGGACTCACTGGAGGTGGTGAGGAGGGGAGGCGGGGGGGACACCGAAGGGACTGACGCAGGAGGTGGAGGGCTGGGGGGACTGGGGCTGGGCGTGGTGGAGGTAGCGCAAGCACATGACTGGGAGATGGAGCCGCTTTCCTCCTGGCACTTGAAGTCCGACACGCTTCCCGCCGGACAGCTAGCCGCGCACTGCAGACAACGTTGGTGGGCAGGGCATGAGTGGACATGCATCCATTCCATTGATCAGTGCATGCCATTAGAAGGTGCATCGAGGGGCTGTCCGGTGCAACGCACCTGTTGCTTGGCCTGCGCACAGGTCAGTGCCATGGCGGAAGGGATGAGCAGGGCGAGTGCTGCCACCAGGGCGGCAATGCAGGTCCTCCGCATTTTGTAAAATTTAAAGGAAACTGAGATTCTAGAATGTATCAGTAATGTCTTTCTCTCGTGCGAAGCCTTGTGTACCGGGCTATATGCGAAACACGACTTTCGCCTACACGCTTTCGGCTGGTCTCCATGCCTTCCACATGTCCCGAACGCGGTTGAGCTTGCCCATATTTTCTGTCTGTTCGCATGCCTGCCTTGTTGTCCACACTTAATCATAGTATTTTTAAATCTTGCTTTAAGAACATCTCTACCTTGCGAAGTGTGAGTTGAGGACACACTCGCAGCGACACCTGTGCGTCCTACACTCTTCCGGCATGTCGAAACTTCGCTGTGCTTCACCAGGCATGCAGCCAGGGAACACGGCATGCGCGCTGCCGTGAAATCACAGTTTATTTATAGCTGCTGCACACCCCTTTCCCAAGGTGCTCGGACCAATTTTCGCACCGCTCACGGCTTGTTGTAGCAGGCATGCGCATTTCAAAGTACATTCCCTTCGTATCCGGACGGGGCACCAACTGCGCGGTGTCGCTTATATCCTGTGTCTGAAGAGGAACTTGACTGGCTACAAGGGCTATGATCTTGCCTAGAGTCAGCCCGGAAACGTCTGCTTCGGAGGTTTGCATTCGCGATGACGTAGAAGTCGAGGGAAGAGGTATGAACCCGAGGGAAGCATGATAAGAGCCCGGCGCGTGGCATCTTCGACTACATGCAGCCTCTTTCGAGAACAGTATCCGAAACGTTAACCTCCCAACGACATTTATACCTGTCGCAGAATCTTTCCTCATTGCGGCATTCCCGATGACGTCTGCTAAGCAGCTCTGCCGGGCCGGCCTGCTCGTATGCCTCGTCCTCCTGCTGGCTCAGCAGGCATCTGCGGCCTACGAGTCCCCCTTCTGCGCTGCCCAGAACGCCACATGCTACGAGGGCTGCCCTGTTGGAGAAGTGGACTTCCAGTGCGATGACAGTGGCCCCGGATCGCAGTCCATCTCCTGCACATGCCAGAACGGTTCCGGGCGCGGTTCCTCGTCTGCCTCTGCAACATCCTCGTCGTCGTCGCCCTCCCCATCGAGCTCGACGTCGACTTCCGGTAGAAGCTATGCGTGGTGGAATGAGGAGAGAGAGAACGCTGGAGGCCGTCGCTAATGTAGGTTGCTGTTTTCGAATTTGGGGGTCGGGCGGTGCATGCAGCTTCGGCTTTGGGCTGATTCCGTTCCACACATTCGATTCTGCCTCTTGCAGGGTGAGGAGGCCACGGCAAAATCAGGGCCAGAGCGCTTGGACCCTTAAAGAGCACACTTTCGACCAAGACTGATGATGTAAGCACACCCTCCATCCTGAATTTTCTCCATTTTGTGAATATTTGATGTAACTGCCGAACAGCCGATCAAATTCGAGGCATGGGCTGGATGTCTTTGCAGTATGCTGTATCCTTGACCGCAAATGAGTGCCAATGAATAGAGTTTATGATGGTGATATTACCAGTGGATATGAACAGACCTCATTATGTTGCTGCACTTTCATTCCATCCGTTTCCACCCTCTATCCCCGCAGACTTGTCCTAGAGGACCAACACAGATACTCAAAGAATTTCTCCCCGTTCCCTCGCTCAGATGAATGATCGAATGAAACTCGCATGATCTGAATTGCAGCATGTCAGCAATGTGTAGCGGTTGGTGACGCCCAATGCCAAGGTCTGGGGGACGGAGTCTTGGGGTGTACGGGTGTCGAGACCGCCACAAGGTACGCGCGCGATAAGCAGCATGCGCGCCCCACAGGGCCAGACTGTGAAGTACTCCAAGAATGCACCCCAGCAGGGGTCGACATATAAATATTGACGGTGAACCTATCCGGATCAAATGCTGTGGGAGACTCCGGGGTGTAGTGGCAGTAGTAGGGTTTCACCGGCCCCTGACACTCACTTCCAGGACCTCCAAGGCGAGCATAGTGCCTGCTATGAGTCCATCGTTCCACCGCGCGAATAGTGTTTCACGCTGACGGGTGGTGAATGGCACCTTCCTCCACCTTGTGGGCGTCGCAACGCAGCCAGACAGGGTCACAGCGGGTGGGGGACTACCTCCTGGGGCGCACCATCGGCGAGGTGCGCTGGTGTCGCACGCGCCGATACCCTTTCAGGCATACCGAGCAACGAGGGGCATTATCTCTTGCGAAGAAAGCGTGCGCATCGCCCCAGTCGGGTGTGTAAACCCCAAAGTCCCCACCCACCCTCCATCGCCTGCATCAGGGCGCCGACTCCAGGGTGGTCTACGCCCAGCACGTGGACACGGGCCTCAAGGTGGCCATCAAGGTGCTGGACAAGGAGGCGCTGCTGACGCGCGGCGGCGCTGCCCGCTTCCCGCGTGAGGTGGCCGCGCTGCGCCGCCTGCGCCACCCCCACGCCGTGACCCTGCTGGGCGTCCTTTCCTCCCCCTCCACGCTCTACATGGTCATGGAGCTGGTGGCGGGGGGCGACCTGTACGACCGCATCGCGGGGGAGGGACCCCTGAAGGTGGGTTGGGGAACCAGGAGGTTGAGAGGGAGAGGCATTGCCCGAGAAGATGCGCCCGGGCGCATATACATGTGCTGACTCGGATGTCATTACCTGGTGCCCCTGCTCCTCACACGCAGGAGGCGGAGGCGCGGCGTCTCTTCTGCCAGCTGCTCAGCGCCCTGGGTGCCTGCCACGCGGCGGGCGTCTTCCACCGCGACATCAAGCCCGAGAACGTGCTGCTGACGGAGGGCGGGGACGCCAAGCTGGCAGACTTTGGGCTGGGGTGTGTCGCCGGGGCGCAGGACCTCCTCAGGACGGCCTGCGGGACCATGCAGTACACCGCCCCGGAGGTACTGCGGGACAAAGGGTACCACGGCGGGCCATCGGACCTCTGGTCCCTTGGTGAGTTGGGGATTGGGTGGGGGCAGAGTGGACTGGGGCCTGTGCAAGGTGCCAAGCATGGTGGTAGGAATGGATTAGGAATGCGTGCCAGGGAGCTTCCTCCCATGTGGCAAGGCGCCATGCCGGATGCCGCCGCTTGGTGGGCCGCTCCACCTCCTGTAAGCCCCCTCCCCCCATATAACAATGAAGCCAATCAAGGCGTGGTGCTGTTCGTGATGCTGACGGGGGAGCTGCCGTTCGACGCCGACACGCCCCTGGCTCTGATGCAGTGCATCGCGGCCGCCGACTACTCCCTGCCGCCGACGGTGAGCGCGGCGGCGGCGGCCACGCTGCGCGCCATGCTGTGCCCCGACCCGGCGGCTCGGGCGGGGATCGAAGAGGTGTGGGACATGGACTGGGTCGCCGCATGGCAGGGCGATGCGCCAGGCGAGGCGGCGCGGGCGCGCTGGGGAGCCGACCTGTGTCCCGAGGCTCAGGCGGCCGAGGCCTTGCTGGAGCCGGGGTCTGACTCGGCGTCGGGCATCGAGGAAGTGTCCGAGCCTGGCAGCCCCGTGGTGGGTCGGTGATGCTGGGGAAGACCGGGCGGTGGACCAAGGGGCTTCAGGGGGATAAGAGGTCGCACGGCAGGATTGCTCAGTGATCGCCGAGCCACACAGGGATCACTATTGTCGACCAGCCACGAGCATGCACATGGCAATGCCTGCCCACAGAACCAGATCCACTTCACAGCCCGGCAGCTCCCGGAATGACACCCAACCTACGCAAGCCTAATCTTCACCCTCACCCCCAATCGCATCGCCATCCACGCAGATGGGTGGCAGCCACCCCTTGCTGGCCGGGCCCTTCCATATGAATGCCTTCCAGCTGCTGCGCGCCAACCTGGACATCTCCGCCATCTTCGAGGGCAGGCAGGACGTGGTCAAGCGCCGCACCCGCCTCACCTGCGGGCCTCACCTGGGGGGCATCCTCCACCGCATCCAAGCCGCCGTGGAGGGAGTGGGCGGCCATGTGGCACGCCGTAGTCCCAACTGGTGAGGCAGCGGGGGGGTGGGGGTGTTGCCAGCGGAGACTTCAGGCTGCGCCGGGCCTGCACCTCCACGCAAGCCCACCTCAGCCCACGTCCTGGCTTTCTCCAAGACAAAAAGGATGCGGCAACCACCAGTCTCTGTCCTGCCAACAAGCAATCACCCCCCCAAACCCCTGTGCAGCCTCAGCATGTCGGTGCCCATCCCAGCTGGCATCCTCACTGTGCGGTTAGATGCCCACATGCTGGTGCCGGGCAAACATCTGCTGGACATCTCCCGTGTCTCTGGGCCCGCCCCCGCCTTTTACAAATGGCAAGTCGGGAGGGGTGTTAGTGCGCCTGCAGAGAGGACAATGCAGAGCCAGGGAGGGTGCGGGGCAGGGGGTCGACACCGGAGGGTGGGCAGCGCTGCGCATTGTCTTGGTGCCCATGACACTTCCTGCCCGTCGTACCACCCTCGCCTGCCTGCTCCTTGATTCTGCACCGCGCAGGTATGCTCGCCTTGTCGCCCAGCTGCGGCCCTTCATCCTCCAAGCAAAGCCTCTTGTGAGTTTGCTGTTCTGCAGTGCAATGAATCGAGGCACCTCTGGACCAGATTCCGTGCGCATGCTTTCGCAGTCGGCTTAGAGGAGGACCTTGCTCCGGGGAATTGGACTCTCTGCCTCTCCACCCCTGCACGGCACCTGCTGAATCAGTCATCGATCCCCGCCCCGAATGTCCTCCCTCATTTCTCAACCCCAGGCAGTGGGTTCGTCCCAGGCCCTGGCCGCCTTCAGGGTGATCAACCAGGGGCTGGACCTGGGCTCCCTCTTTGCGCCCAGCACCCACTTCCAGTCTCACCTGCGGGCCTCACCTGGGGGGCATCCTCCACCGCATCCAAGCCGCCGTGGAGGGAGTGGGCGGCCATGTGGCACGCCGTAGTCCCAACTGGTGAGGCAGCGGGGGGGTGGGGGTGTTGCCAGCGGAGACTTCAGGCTGGGCCGGGCCTGCACCTCCACGCAAGCCCACCTCAGCCCACGTCCTGGCTTTCTCCAAGACAAAAAGGATGCGGCAACCACCAGTCTCTGTTCTGCCAACAAGCAATCACCCCCCCAAACCCCTCGTGCAGCCTCTGCATGTCGGTGCCCATCCCAGCTGGCATCCTCACCGTGCGGTTAGATGCCCACATGCTGGTGCCGGGCAAACATCTGCTGGACATCTCCCGTGTCTCTGGGCCCGCCCCCGCCTTTTACAAATGGCAAGTCGGGAGGGGTGTTAGTGCGCCTGCAGAGAGGACAATGCAGAGCCAGGGAGGGTGCGGGGCAGGGGGTCGACACCGGAGGGTGGGCAGCGCTGCGCATTGTCTTGGTGCCCATGACACTTCCTGCCCGTCGTACCACCCTCGCCTGCCTGCTCCTTGATTCTGCACCGCGCAGGTATGCTCGCCTTGTCGCCCAGCTGCGGCCCTTCATCCTCCAAGCAAAGCCTCTTGTGAGTTTGCTGTTCTGCAGTGCAATGAAACGAGGCACCTCTGGACCAGATTCCGTGCGCATGCTTTCGCAGTCGGCTTAGAGGAGGACCTTGCTCCGGGGAATTGGACTCTCTGCCTCTCCACCCCTGCACGGCACCTGCTGAATCAGTCATCGATCCCCGCCCCGAATGTCCTCCCTCATTTCTCAACCCCAGGCAGTGGGTTCGTCCCAGGCCCTGGCCGCCTTCAGGGTGATCAACCAGGGGCTGGACCTGGGCTCCCTCTTTGCGCCCAGCACCCACTTCCAGTTCACCAGCAGGGAGGGTGCCGACACCATCCTGGATAGCGTGCGCAGCGTGGCGAGCGACCTCGGCTGTGCCGTGCATGGCGCACACGATGACAGGTGGGGCACAAGTCAGGGTGCCTGGCAGCAGTCGGCCTTGCCTGGGAGGCAGTGGAACTTTTGCTTACTGGGCACCCCAGTAGAGAGGCTGTCGTCAATACACCCATACCGTCGCAACACCAGGACTGAATACATGGGGCCCTGCTGTCCACCCAAATCGGGCACAATTGCTGCACCCTCTTTCGAACTTCGAGCACGCCCTACCTTTCCGCAGTCTCACGCTGGAGCGGAGGACGGGAGGGGCCAATGAGGCGCCTCTCAGCCTGCGCTTCCAGGTCCTGGGGGTGCTTCCAGATCTCCAGGTGTGCCAGGTCAGCATGCTGGAGGGGGCTCCTACCGAGTTCCAGCACCTGCGGGCTGACCTAGTTTGCGGCCTGTCAGGCATCATGACGGCATCTTCTGGGAAGAAGGGCCACCCGTGAGGCAGGTGTGGATCATTTCCAGCTCTGAAGCGTCACCTCCTCGTCAAACCGCAGCCCATTTACAACAGCCCTGTTTCTTCTCACATCAAGATTTTTTCAATTCTATGCACCATGGTCAACCTGAAGCATGGTCCCTTGTACCTTATTACTCCAGCATGAAAGATAATATCAAGACACCCAAGGTACTGGGGTATACCATGTGCTTCTGGAGGCGCGAAGTTTTATAAGAGGAAATAGTTAAGTCTTGTTTGTTTGTCAACTCCAAGGACGAGCCCTGAATGGGATAAACTCCTTCAAACCACGTGAGCCAGACACTCCATCATCCAGACCCTCCGATTCTGCCACCACCCCAGGAACACCACACACCATCGCCAGAAATTAATTCTTTGTGGCGAATTCTCATTGCAGTTGGTAGTATATTCTCCCGAGAGTGCTCCGTGCAGGCCACGACCTCAGTCCCACCAAGCACGGGACAAGATGGGCTCCGGCACTCGCGCCTGACCCCCTCGATACCCATCACCCCTTTCCCCCGCCCCCCAGCACATCTTCACCATGCTGGGGACATCTCAATTGGGACGCATGTCCCTCGGCAGCGAGCTGGCCTCCAGCGGCGCTCGCCTGGGCCTGTCCCTGAACGGGAAGTTCCTGCCGTCCAGCAGCGGGCCCCGGTCCAGCAGCACTCGCGCCCCCCCGCCCGGCCGCATGCTGAGCCTGGCCATCGACCTGGACCCCCGGCACGCCCCTCTGGCCCGGGCTCCGCCCCTGGTCCAGCCCCAGGACCCGAAGGCCCGGCGGCGTAGCATGGACCGCGACACCCCCCCTGCCCCCCCTTCCCGCCCCTCCGACGCACCGCTCCCCCCCTGCATCACCGCGCTGCTGGATCCGGCCTGCGATCCCGCCCTGCCCCCGCCCGGGTCGCTGGCGCTGACCCCTGCCCACAACCGCGAGCTGGACAAGCTGGTGGCGCAGCTGGGGCGGGGCCGGGCCACCTGGCGCCGCGCACTGGCGCTGCTGGACTGGCTGCGGGCGGGCGGGCATGCGCCAGACGACCGCCTGTGCACCACGCTCATCCGCGTGGCCGCGCAGCACGGCGAGGCGGGCGAGGCGCTGGCCATCTACGACTGGATGCGGCGGCCACGGCGCGAGGGCGGCGCGGGCCTGGCCGCCACGGTGTACACCTACACCGCCGCGGCGCGCGCCGCGCTGGCCGGCGGCATGCTGCACCGCGCTCTGGCGGTGTGGGACGACGCGGCGGCCGACCCGGGGTGTGCACCGGATTGCCGCCTGGCCACCACGCTGATCGAGGTCTGCGCCCGCACTGGCGACGCGGACCGCGCGTTGGGCGTCTACGCGCGCATGCTGGCCGCGCCGCGCGGCTCGCGCCTGGAGCCCAGCGTGCACGCCTTCACCGCCACCATGCGCGCGGTTGCGGAGGGCGGCCGTGCAGGCGAGGCGCTGGCCATCTGGGCCGACATGCAGCGCCTGGGCTGCAAGCCCACGGGTGAGGTTGGATTAATGGTGGTGATGTGTGTCTGTGTGAGTGTGTGTGTGTGTGTGCTTGGGGTGGGTTTGTGGGTGGGGAGGGGCTCCCCATAGGTGGCTCTGGCGCGTCTGCTTCCTACAACAGATGTTGTGGCTCCCACATCAGTCATACAAGTTGGTTTCAGAGGGAGTCGTGGAGGCTGGTGATGCTGGACCCTGGTTGCGTTTATCATTCCCCCCGGTCTCACCCCCCACCGCCCTCCAATCACACAAACGAAGGCCACGCGTACGCCGCCGTCATCTCCGCCTGCGCGGCGGGGGGCGAGTGGGAGCGCGCGGTGGGCCTGTTTGACGAGATGCTGGCCGCCCGCATCCGCCCCGATGTCGTGTCCTGCACCGCCCTGGTCGCGGCGCTGGGCGCAGCGGGGCAGCCGCGCCGCGCGGAGGGCGTGGTGCGCTGGATGGCGCGCGCCGAGGTGCGGCCCAACGTGCGCACCTACACCGCGCTGCTGGCTGCCCACGCCGGCGTCGGCGACTGGGACCGCGCGCTGGGCCTGCTGCGCGAGTTGCGCGCCGGGCACCACGGCCCGGGGCTGGAGCCCAATGCCTACACGTACTCCGCACTGCTCAAGGCGGCGGGGGAGCAAGGGGAGGTGGGCCTGGCGGAGACCCTGTTTGAGGGGTTGGAGCTGGAGGCGAGGCTGGACGCCGCGAAGCAGGCGGCGCTGGGTGCGCTGCGCCCTGATGAGGGGACCTGGGACGAGGGACTGGAGGGAGAGGGCCTGTTCGAGGCCCTGGAGACCGCGGCGGCGATGGGGGCTGCGCCAACGGCGAAAGCCAGCGCTGTGATCGCTGGCCCGCTCGAGTCCGCTTCCGCCTGGCGATCGCCTGGCGTGCACGATGCACTCACCGTTCCAGAGTCCAGCTCTTCAGACCCAGACCTCGACGCCTCGCACGCGGCCGCACTGGCGGTGGCTGCGGTGGCGGTGGCGCGGCCCGCGGCGTCGCCGACCGCTTGCGCCGACCCCCAGCTGGAGCGCCTGCTGTGCACGCAGCTGGGGCCGGCCCTGGGGGGTGTTGACGGCGCCGCCTCCTCCACGCCCCGCTCGGGGCCCCGGGGGCCAGGAGCGGGCGCGGAGGAGGCCTCGGCGCGAGGGGCGCGGGGAGCGGGCGATCATGCAGTGCCCACAACAGCAAACTGCAAGCCTTTGCTTGCTGTCTCGGGGGTGCCCATCAGCAGCAGCCCGTTTCCGTCGGCAGCAACACCATCCGACGGCCCGCAGCCGTCCCTGCGCCTGGCGGCGGCCGCTGCGGCCGCGTGGGGCGTGGCTTCGCTGGATGCGCGCGGCGCGGCCTGGGGCGCCGGCGACGACTACGGCTCCATCGCGGATGGAGGGACTCCAGCCCTCGCAGGGACCGCCGCCGCCTCGGGAGGGCGCGATGTGCCCTCCGCGCCCCACGGCAGCCCGGCCAGCGTGCTGCCCGCCTCGCCGCCGCCGTCGGGCTGGTCCGGTGGCGGCGCCGAGGCCGACCGCGCGCCGCGGTCCGCTCCGCCGGCCGTCAACCACGTGGTCTGCGGCGCGATGATGTCGGTGTATGAGCGCGCGGGGCGCGCGGGCGAGGCGGTGGGCATGCTGCGCCGCGCGCGCGCGCTGGGCGTGCGCCCCAACACCGTCATGCTGAACACCGCGCTGTCGGCGCTGGGCAAGGCGGGGCGCGTGGACGAAGCGCGCGCACTGTTTGCCCGCATCCCGGACCCCGACGCCGCCAGCTACGAGACGCTGGTGGCGGCGCTGGGCGCGCGCGGGCTGGCGGCCGAGGCTGAGGCCACGGTGGCGGCCATGCGCGCCGCAGGGCATGCACCGCGCCACTATGCCTACTGCGGCCTCGTCGCCGCGCACGGCGTGGCGGGGGACTGGCGCGCCGCGCTGGCCGTGCGGCGGCGCATGGCGCAGGAGGGGCTGCAGCCCAATGTTCACGTCTACAATGCGCTGCTGGGTGAGCGAGTTTGGTGTTGGGTTCTTGTTTCTTTTTGTTCCTTAGGAGGGGGGAAGGGGATTTTGAGAGGGGGGTGGACGCGGCATTATGAGGGGTGTGGACGCGGGAGAGACTGGCCACCCTCTGTCGGGACGCATGCGCTTGAGAGGGTGCTTTGTCTTCCTCCAGGCGGAGTCTGGATCCCTCCTCGCTGACATCCAACCACGCCACTCCATGATCCAGGTGTGTGCAACCAGGCGGGGCAGTGGGACGCCTCCCTGGCGCTTGTGCGGGAGATGCGGGGGGCAGACATTCAGGGCAACCTCACCACGGCCCAGGCAAGACCACATGGGGTCGTGCAGGGCCTGGCGCGAGGCCCTGGGGTGGCAATCAGGGGGGAGGGAGGTGTGCGAGGCCCGCACAAGCATTGCTTCAGGTCGGTGTGATGCCCAGCAACTTCACATTCACGCTCCACATCCCACCCACAGCTGCTCGAGGCGACGGGGCGTGGTGGCGCGGGGTCTGTCGACCGCCAGGCTGCCCTGGCCGCCGCCCTGTCGGCCACCGTGGGAGCAGCGGGAGTGGCGCTCATGCAGACTGGCTTCATCTGATCAGTCGACTGTGGAAGAGGATGAATGGAAAAGAGGAGACCTTGACTTCCCCCCGCCGCCTCTCTGAGCACCTCACCTGATGCCCGCTCTCAAGCTGCAACTGGGGCTCAATGCACGATGACCCACAAGTCACCCCACGCTGGATCCGATCCTACACGTCATGGAATGCCTTCCCTCCAGATGGGCAGGGGGCCGCATGACCTCCTGCCATCGACCTTTGGGGCTGCTTTGCCCTCACCAGCGCCGTCCCTCAATAAACTCTCAGCCCTTTCTCCTGGCCGTTGTCCTGGGGTGCTCCATACGAGTTTCCCCCTGCGCCGGCGCAACCCCTCAACCCTCCTCTGACTGGAACCCGGACTGTTGCTGCAGTTGTCACGCTTTCTTCCCGTGCCCTGGCCCTGCACTCTGTTGGCCCTGCACTGTTTCGACCGACCCCCACTCCCCTCCTCTGCAACATGCTCAGAAAGACACTCACAA